GCCAGTATTTTGGGGTATCTCTAAATTGATGACCTGTGGGGGCTTTTAAAGCGTCTTCTATGGACTTTTTGGGGTACTGGGGTTTTTCGCCATTTTATGGATGCACGCAATTTGTAACCTGGGCATGTTGGGTATCGTTTTACTCGTTGTAACCTCATCTTTTATATTTCCATTTAAAAAATGGGTATTTTGTTGTGTTTTGGGGCATTTAATAAAATTTTTCACTAAATATTGGTGTTTAATAAGGAGTTGCGCTAATATTGCGCAACATAAAAATTTGCAACTACCACCATTTTATTCTATAGGGTCTTGGCATTCAGAAAAGATATAATGTTGGGGGGTTTTAAGTAATTTTCAGGCCTAAAATGTGGAATATAACATGGGTACAAAAAATGAAAAAAAGGCCTCAGTCATGAAGGGGTTAAGTAAAGGAAATTGCCATTTTGGTCATTTGTCCCCATTACAAGCCTTTCCTTTACCTCTATCTCTTGTAAGGAGAGATTAGACTTGATACATAAAAGTCAGTTTTGAGGCATGCCAAAATTGTTTTTTTTTTAAATCAACATTTTATTAAGGTCATGTGACTGAGAGCGATGCAGACAATCACCATAGCCCTTAGATCAGCCTTTCTTCATCTTATTTACCTAGAGGAACCATTGATATAAACTTCAGGTCTCAAAGAACCCCTGCTAATAATTGGTATATCCATAGCTCACTCAGTGAACACCAATAGCAATATAAGAATAAGGAATGTGGCCTACTAAGTGTCTTTGAAACCCAGAGCTGCTCTATACAACACAATTATTTTAAGTAATAATAAAATGAAATGAATAATAATAATAATAATAATAATAGCCAGAAAATTAACACTGCAGCTTTTTCTCCCACATTGGTGGCCAGTGGAGAAATGTCCCCTTACTATGATGGTCAATGGAAAAGTGCCCCCTTACATTGGGGGTCAGTGAAGTGGTCCTTCAAATTAGCAATCAATGTTCTGCTACCTTACATTGGTGGTCAGTGGAGATACGCCCATTACACTCGTTGAGAGTGGTAGGAATCCTCCTTACAATGGTGTTTCTTGGAGAAGAGCCCAATTACGCTTGTCATCATTGGTAAGAATGTTGTTTACATTGGTGGTCAATGGTACGTATGCTCCTTACATTGGTGGTCAGTGGAGATAGGCCCATTACACTGGTTGAGAGTGGTAGGAATCCTCCTTACAATGGTGTTTCTTGGAGAAGAGCCCAATCACCCTTGTAGTCATTGGTAAGAATGCTCCTTACATTGGTGGTCAGTGGAGAAGGGCCAGGGTGGTCAGTGGTAAGGATGTTCCCTACATTGGTGGTCACTGGGGAAAAGTCCAATTACCCTGGTGGTCAGTGGTGAGAATGCTTCTTACATTGGTGGTCATTGGAGAAGGCCCCATTACCCTGGTGGTCAGTGGCAAGAATGCTCCTTACATTCGTGGTTAGTTGTAAGAATGCCCCCCTTACAGATAACTAAAAAGATCCATAGCGTCATTGATTACTTATGAACAATTTCTGATTCTCCAATATCTCAAGGAACCCCGAAGAACCTCTGGTGGAACCCTAAGGTTTCATTAAAGCCTGGTTGAGAAAGGCTGCCTTAGATGTTTCACGGACAATCAAACGAACAAAGTCTGAGTGACTGTTTTATACATTTTCAAATACAGAAAACCACATAATTGGTTATTGATCTACTCGTGTTATGTGATAGAAACTTCTACTATAGGCTTATGTAAGAATGTAAACATATACATTGAAGCAGGTGGCCCTGAAAGACCAAATACTCCAGGAACAGTATCTTGTTTGCTCATGGCAGACTAATACAGAGCTTAAAAGGTTCATTTTAGAAAGACATGAGCTACTGGCAGACTAATACATAATAATACTAAGACATGGCATTATTCTGCAATAAATAATTCCCCAATAAAACTGAGCTATGACTCACAGATAAATTATACAAATGACATCGATAGCAGAATAAATAACACAGACCGATGATTCTTCCATGTCACAATTTGGGATTTGAATGTATTCTTTGTCTCGGTGACAATGGTCACTAGGAGATGTAGAGGGGTTAATCTCCCCAGCAGGGACAGAATTTGCTATAAAATCTTGGCAGGGGGTCTAACCCCTCACCAATCTAGTCAAATCTAAAAAAAAAAATGCCTTTACATAACCTTGAAAGAATGTGAAGTATTTGTAGTGTGCGGGATGATGTTTAGACCACCAATAGTTGTGTAGCTGCAGACTCTATTACACATTAACCTACAACTAGATTTTAATGAGTAAATATTAACCGATCAGTAAACTTAATGGACAACACGCCGACTTGCTGAATCGTTTGTAATTGCCATGGTATTGTGTAAGTCCCTATTTATCTCATCAGCAATATCGTTACTGAAGGCTTCGAAATGAAAGAATAAGCGCACCTTTGTCTGCACAAACATGATCCTTGGCTTCCACCTATCTACCCCTTCTGTGCCACAGCAGGGGACTTTTCTCACGCAGAAAGCCAGTCCCTGGAGTATAGGCTGACCTATCAGAGTCACCATTCTGCAGGTATGGGGCAGTCATAGCATACATCATTTTTCAGTGTATAGAGACCTATTTGTGTATCACTCGGCTGTAGAGCCTCAAATCATCTCTGAATTGGTGGTGACGTTGTCCTTCCTTCTGGAGGGGGGCTACTTCTGTTCCCCATGGTCCCTGTGTGTGTTGTAAAGTAGTCACCACTCCAAGCTCATTCCCGGAATGGACTACAATGTCAAGTTTTGTTTATTAATTTGTATTGAGATTGTAGTCTCAATGAATAAAAATAATGAATAAAAAACATAAAGTGAGAACACAAGACATGTATAAAAAGCATAAAGTGAGGACACAAGACATGTATAAAAAGCATAAAGTGAGGACACAAGACATGTATAAAAAGCATAAAGTGAGAACACAAGACATGTATAAAAAACATAAAGTGAGGACACACGACATGTATAAAAAACATAAAGTGAGGACACAAGACATGTATAAAAAACATAAAGTGAGGACACAAACATAAAGTGAGGACACAAGACATGTATAAAAAACATAAAGCGAGGTCACAAGACATGAGTAATACCATAAAGTGAGGACACACGTGAATAAAAAACATAAAGTGAGGACACAAGACATGAGTAAAAACATAAAGTGAGGAGACAAGACATGAGTAAAAACATAAAGTGAGGAGAGAAGACATGAGTAAAAACATAAAGCGAGGTCACAAGACATGAATAAAAAACATAAAGTGAGGTCACAAGACATGTATGATACCATAAAGTGAGGACACACGTGAATAAAAAACATAAAGTGAGGAGACAAGATGTGAATATAAAACACATAAAGTGAGGACACAAGACATGTATAAAAACCATAAAGTGAGGACACAAGATGTGAATATAAAACCATCAAGTGAGGACACAAGATGTGAATAAAACCATAAGGAGAGGACACCAGACATCAGCCATAAAACAAGGAGACATCAGCTTTAATCTTTGTGTACATTAAACATGGATGTGTCGGGCGATGTCCTCTTGTCAATGAGGTGTGTGTACACAGCCTTGGCAGGCACATCCTCTCCTCTCTCTATGAATGAAATCCTGCTCTATCCTCAGCACCAGGCGAGGATGTCAGAAGGGATCGCGCAGCATCCAATCAAGTGGCACCGATAAGCGGCCAATTGCGAAGTGCATTACATCTCAGTGCTGGTTACCGGTTTACATTGTGGGATGCGGGCTGTGTCTCTGTAGTCTGGTCATTGATCTCGGTCAGAGTCCAGCTAGAGAAGCAGCAGCAGCGGGTGACTGTCAGCCCCTCCGACATGTCTGCGCAGGCTGCCTCCGTCTTAGGGAAGTGTACGCATGCCATCGTGCGCTGCATCCCGAACTCGTTGAGCCAGCAGGCTCTCCGGAGCACAGACAGCGGGGAGGTGGACACCGCCAAAGCCCGGAGGCAGCATGAGCTCTACACCCGGGTCCTGAAAGACAAGCTGGGGCTGCAGGTCATCGAGCTGGAAGCGGACGACTCCATGCCGGATGCTCCCTTCGTGGAAGACACGGCGGTTGTACTGAACGAGACAGCGCTGGTGACCAGACCTGGGGCAGTCAGCAGGAGGAAGGAGGTAACCGGTCACCGACACCTGCCAGTGTTAACCCTTTGCTTTCCAGGTTGCACCTGCTGTAAAATCTTATTCGTGCGGTGGTAACCCGAAGCAACTAGGTGACTGCCAATTGGCACGGTGCACATTGCAAAATGCTGTTTGCATTGCCCACATTTGTATGTGAATGTGTGTATTGTGTGTGCACACTTTGCACAGTGTTTAATGCGTCTATATCATACATTATTACAGCTCTTTTGTGTCCTGACTTTGTACAGAGCTATGGAACACGCCGGCGCCCTATCAGTCCCTGTCATCTGGTTTAAAGGGCTTATTGTAGCACACAAAGGTTTCGTTTCACACCCCCCTGGACAGCTTGTGTTGCTGAGGGCTATTGCACAGCGCTGCTCTTTGCAGACGGCGGTTCAGTAATGCTTAAGGTGTGGCAAGCCTCCAGAATGCCAGCGATCCGGGCCTGACTGTGCCCACACAACCAGCTGCCTGCTGCAAGCTGCTGATCAGGAAAATTGAGTCTGGTATCTGCTCAGCGGAATGTTTTGCTCTGAAATGTGGCAGACAGACAAGAAAAGAGTTTGCAACATTTTAGATTTCAATGGTTTGTGCAGACTTAAAGGGGACATCAGGGGCACTCATATCCCCTTCTTGGTGGCCCCGCCAGTTCAACCCAGCGTGAAATTTGGCTATAAATAGGAAACTGGAGGGGAGGGACATATGTTGTGTGCAAGTAAGAAAGATTTATGTTACATTGGTCTTGTTAAATGTCACACATTCATTGTAACTATAAAATTATTTGTGTAGTTTGATATATAAATATATATATGCATACATACACATATTTATGTGTCTATTCACATAAATACAATGGGGGGAATTTATGAAAACTGGAGCAGACAAAATCTACAGCAGCTGTACATTCCAACCAATCAGCTTCTCTCTTTCATTTTCAAATCTTAACTGAACAAAATGAAGAGAGAAACTGATTGGTTGCCATGGGCAACTGCTCCAGATTTTGTCTGCTCCATTTTTGGTAAATACCTCTCATTGCACGAAGTAGAACATTTCTTAAAAATAAAAATTGACTGATAGAATTTCCCCGTGCAGAGGACATTCTCCTGGGGCAAGGGGCGAATGGAAAGAATAGTCAGCAAGTGGCATCCAATGTAGCGGGATCTACATAGGAATTGATCGTAAACACGGTGATTGACCATTGGAAGATGGCAACTGTTTAAATCCAGTAGTGACAACACTGACACCTATATTTCCTATTTGAGAAATCGGAACGCAGGCATCAGAGGAGTGGCAGCCAATTTGCTTCGATTGACCAAACACACTGGGGAATATGGACAGCAAACGTACTTTGTAAATGCAACAGATCTTTTGATGGTGAAAGCAGCATTAGGCGTGAGCAGCAGGTCCATCATTCGCTGTGTTATAAATAGGCCCCGTATTATTATTATTAGTATACAGGATTTATATAGCGCCAACAGTTTGCGCAGCGCTTTACAATATAGGGAAGACATTACAATCACAATACAATTCAAGACAAGATGGTAAGGAGAGCCCTGCCCCTGAGGGCCCGTAGACTATAATATATATTAGGAGAATGAGCTGCTTTCGCCTTGGTGTATGATGGGAAAATAATATACAGGAAAAAAATGAATTGTCTGCGATGAAATGTCGATTTAGAAAAATCTGGTTATGTTTAATTTGTTTTTCTTAGATCATAAAGGTCCCAATACTCTAATGTATTGATATAAGTGTCTGCTATATATTTAGAGATATGAGGAAGCATCACTGACTTTGCATTTATCTATATAGAAGGACTCAGCAGGTGGTAGAAGAAGAAGCTTTTCTACATGGACAGTGCATAGAGTGAGGCTCTCTTAAGGTGCCCATACACTGCACGATTCTCGTACGAGAATCGCGTGAAATCCAGCGATCGTACGAGAATCGTGCAGTGTGAATGAAGATGTGCGACCGTTTCTACTGTACGGTCGCACGTCTTTTGTCTAAGGAGCATGCTAGAAAACCAGCCGAAAATCGTACGATTTTTGGCTGGTTTGAATGATGCTCGGGAGACAAATGCCCGTTCAGCATTGCGGTCATCGCCCTGATGGGCGGGCTTGCGATGATCGCAAGTACAACCTGCCTGTCCAAGATGGTCAGATCGTAAGTTTTTTGAATTACTTTACAACCATCGCAAGACTAAGGTCTTGCGATGGTTGTAAAGTGTATGGCCACCGTTATGCTACTAGCCAGGGTGTGTCTCAGAATGGTCTAATACAAGGGTAGGCAAACTCTGGCCCTCCAGCTGAGGTAAAACTACTATAAATCCCATCATGCATCTGCCTCTGGGAGTCATGTCTGTGGCTGTCAGAATCTTCCGATGCCTAATGGGATTTGTAATTGCAACACAGCTGGAGGGCCAAAGTTGCCCACCTTTGGCATAGAGTAAGGCTTTCTTATGCTACTAGCCAGGGTGTGTCTCAGTATAGCCTAATACAGGGATAGGAAAACTCCGGCCCTCCAGCTGTGGTGAAACTACAAATCCCATTATGCATCTGCCTTTGGGAGTCACTCTGTGACTGTCAGTCTTGCAATGCCTAATGAGATTTGTAGGTGTGCCACAGCTGGAGGGCCGGAGTTGCTCAGCCCTGGTATAGGGTGAGGCTCTCTAATGCTACTGGCCAGGGTGTGTCTCAGAATGATCTAATACAAGGCTGATTCAATCATGAGCAATATGCAAATTGCTGAAACCAACAGCAGCCAATTAGAAGTAATATTATGCATGATAGCAGCATCCTATGAGATAGAAGTTGTTTGGTTTCTATAGGACAAAGCATGCTGCACATTCCATACCTATTGTCCAAATCCTCCCCCCCCAACCACCATTTAATTTTTATGCTTTGTTCATACAGTATTGCCCCTCCCCTGCCATGTGGTTCATTAAAATATAAAGATTGTACTATTTTTTTCTATCAGTAGGTATAATAAATGCTGAATGGTGGGAGTTTTTTTGAGGGTATTCTGCGGGAGCAGCAAAAAACTATAATTGATATAAATCTCTATTCTGAAATGAAATATGTACTATAATATGCAACAGTTTTTGTAAATTTTTATTGGATTTTTGTCTTTTGTATAAATAACAATAACCGGGTTTTTACATTTCTGATGTTGTGGAGAATATCACTGTAGCACCTGAAAAGTTCCTCCATGTACCGTTTTTTCGTTGTCAGTATTTCATCATTTGGGATGCGTTGCTTTGACCTGATGGGCTGGTTTCGTTTTGTACATAATTTGCTGGATGCACACGCTTGGCGATAACATGGACATACATACTATTATAACATGGACATACTATTTATTATCACTTTGTTTTGAATCGCATAACTTTTCTTTTGTATACTATGCATACATTGGTGTAGATCAGGGGTAGGGAACCTCTGCACACCAGCTGTTGAGGAACTACAAGTCCCACGAAACTTTGCTAGACTCTGACAGCCACATGAATTAATCCCAGAGGCAGAGCCATGATGGCATTTGCAGTTTTAACTACCCCTGGTGTAGATGAAAGAAGCAGCTAGCATCTCATTATAAAGGGTGACAATAAACTATTTGGAACTTGGAATGGCAGTAAATGCTGAGCAACTGAAAGGAAAGAATTAGGTTGTGTTTACCAGGTTCTTAGTACCCGTTTGGGTCATTAGTGATGGAGCAGGATATATCTTCTCTGTTCTGCTGTCAGCTCCCACCACACCCCTGGACTATCTTTGTTGCCGTTCTCTCAGCATGCAGGAAGCTTGAGGGATGCTCGTTAGTACATAATGACAGAGGGAAGGGGCAGCCAGCCGGAAAATAGAATCTAAGTGACAGGGCGGAATCTCAAGCTGGAAACGATCCTGAGAACAATAAACGTGTCTGGGAAAACCAAAACCAATCCCAAACCAGAAAAAAAAGTCATTTTTATATGAATCTTTCACCAATTTCTGCTCCATGGAAGACAAAGGAACTGGGTTATACTAAGATCCATTGTGTCATTATTCTTCAACTTAAAGTATCATCACCCCTGGTACCCCAAATGCCCGGCTGTCATTATTCTGGGACGTCAAGCTTGAGTTTGCCATAATTCAAAGGGCCCAGATGTCAGTGCAAAATTATTCGAGTGGCCCAGATGCTAGTGTGCCGTTATTTGAGGGGTCCATATGTTAGTGTGTCATTATTTGACGGGCCCAGATGTAAGCATGCCATTATTTGAGGGGTCCAGATGTAAGTGTGTCATTATTTGAGGGGCCCATATGTTAGTGTGTCATTATTTGAGGGGCCCAGCTGCTAGTGTGCCATTATTCGAGGGGTCCAGATGTAAGCATGCCATTATTCGAGGGGTCCAGATGTAAGTGTACCATTATTTGAGGGGCCCAGATGCTAGTGTGCCATTTTAATAGGGGCCCACAGGTCATTGTGCCATTATTCGAGGGGCTCAGGTGTAAGAGTATCATAATTTATAAGCCTAGGTTAGAATGTGCCATTATTCTAAGAGCCAGATGTCAATGCGCCATTATTGTACATAGTTACATAGTTAGTCAGGTAGAAAAAAGACACAAGTCCATCGAGTTCAACCTATAGAGATATGGAGAAAAAAAACCAAAGAGAGAAGAAAAGTATAAACAGAATGCTATGCCCACAGCTACCCCCTGTTGATCCAGAGGAAGGCAAAAAAAACCCCCTATAAAGCATGGTAGGGGCCTACATGTCAGTGTGACATTATTTTAGAGGTTTAGGTGTCAGTGTGTCATAATTTAGAAGCCTAGGTTCCAATATGCTATTATTCCAAGAGCCCAGATGTCAGTGTTCCATTGATCTAGAGGTTTAGCTGTCAGTGGGTCATAATTTAGAAGCCTATGTTCCAACCTGCTATTATTTAAGGAGCTCAGATATCAGTGTGCTATTATTCCAGGAGCCCAGATATCAGTGTGCTATTATTCCAGGAGCTCAGATATCAGTGTGTTTATT